TTCAAATGGCCAGAAAACACATGAAAAAATGCTCACCATCTCTAGCAATAAAGGAAATGCAAATTAAAACCACGCTAAGATTCCACCTCACCCCTGTTAGAATAGCCATCATCAGCAACACCACCACCAACAGGTGTTGGCGAGGATGCGGGGAAAAAGGAACCCTCTTACACTGTTGGTGGGAATGTAGACTAGTACAACCACTCTGGAAAAAAATTTGGAGGCTACTTAAAAAGCTGGACATCGATCTACCATTTGATCCAGCAATACCACTCTTGGGGATATACCCAAAAACTGTTACTCCAGAGGCACCTGCACATCCATGTTTATTGCGGCACTATTCACAATAGCCAAGTTATGGAAACAGCCAAGATGCCCCAGACTGACGAATGGATTAAGAAAATGTGGCATCTATGCACAATGGAATTTTATGCAGCCATGAAGAAGAACGAAATGTTATCATTCGCTGGTAAATGGATGGAATTGGAGAAGATCATTCTGAGTGAGGTTAGCCTGGCCCAAAAGACCAACAATCGTATGTTCTCCTCATATGCGGACATTAGATCAAGGGCAAACACAACAAGGGGATTGGACTTTGAGCACATGATAAAAGCAAGAGCACACAAGGAGGGGTGAGGATAGGTAAGACACCTAAAAAACTAGCTAGCATTTGTTGCCCTTAACGCAGAGAAACTAAAGCAGATACCTTAAAGCAACTGAGGCCAATAGGAAAGGGACCAGGAACTAGAGAAAAGGTTAGATCAAAAGAATTAACCTAGAAGGTAACACCACGCACAGGAAATCAATGTGAGTCAATGCCCTGTATAGCTATCCTTATCTCAACCAGCAAAAACCCTTGTTCCTTCCTATTATTGCTTATACTCTCTCTACAACAAAATTAGAAATAAGGGCAAAATAGTTTCTGCTGGTATTGAGGGGGGGAGAGGGAGGGGGCAGAGTGGGTGGCAAGGGAGGGGGTGGGGGCAGGGGGGAGAAATGACCCAAGCCTTGTATGCACATATGAATAATAAAAGAAAAATGAAAAAAAAAAAAGCACATTAAAATATCAAAAAAAAAATCACAAAAAAGAGCTGGTGGAGTGGCTCAAGGTGTAGGCCCTGAGGCCAAGTCCCAGTACCACAAGTAAATAAATAGGGCTGGAGTAGCTCGGTGTACATCGCTTGCCTAGTAGGCCATCAGCACCAAAAAAAAAAAAAAAAAAAAAAAAAACACAAGTAAATAAATAAGTAAATAAAATAAAGACAACTATGAGTTAATAAGAAAACTAGGAGTTAAAATCCCCCAAGCCAGGTACTGATGGCTTACATCTGTAACCCTAGCTACTTAGGAGGCTGAGATGAGAAGGATCACGATACAAAGCCAGCCTGTTACAAGACTCCGTGTCCCAAATAATAGAGCAAAAATTTGGCTGGAGCTCCTGCGTTGCAAATAGTTTTCTAAAAATGATGATGCATTTATAAAATGTCACCAGGAATATCAGAGAAACAATTGTTTCCACATCTTTACAACATTTAGTATCTCATCTTTTTCATTTAGCCATTGTAGGTGTATAATATTTTTGTGTTAGATTTGCATTTCTAAATGCTAACATTTATTACTCATATACCTTGTTTTATGGAGTTTCTGCTCAAATCATTTGTTTTTGGAAGGTTACTTGTTGTAGGTTCTTTACAACACACTGGATGCAAGTCGTGTGCTTCCCATTCTGTAGCTTAGATTTCCATTCTCTCAAAATGTCATTTGAAGAGCAAGTTCTGTTTGATGAAATTCACTCAGTTGTGTCATTTGTTTGTGAAATCTTGCTAACCGAAGGTCTCAAAGAATTCCTGCTATGTTTAGCCCTTAATGTAAGTTTTTTTGTTTTTTGTGGCACTGGAGTTTGAACTCAGGCTTCACGCTTGTTAGGCCAGGTGTCTACCACTTGAGCCACTCTGCAGTTTGTGATGGTTCATCTTGTCAACTTGATTGCATCAAAAAGCACCTAGGGAATTAATAAAGCACATCTCTGGGTGTGTCTGAGGATGTCTCTAGAGACCATTAATTTTAGGGGGAAAGACCTGGAAAGTACCTGGTCAGTAGGCTGAGATGGTGCTGGAAGACAGGGGAAATAAGGAAGCCCACTACACGGCATTCTCTCTCTGCTTCCTGGACGCCATGTAAGATGCTCTGTTCCACCATGTCCGCCAGCCATGATAGACTGAAACCTCTGAACTATGAACCAAATAAATCCTTCCGCCTGACATTTTTTCTGATAGGTATTTTGTCACAGAGAAAGAAAGTTACTAACAGAAGTACTAGGTGAGAGGAGGGCCGAGAGGTAAAAACAAGGAGGCAGGATTGGGAAATGGAAAAACCCCTGTGGCATAGTAAAGAACTTGACCTTCAACCTAAGGAATGACAGGAGTTATGGAAAAGTTCTGAGGTGCTGTCATTCAACTTGCATTTTAGAGATAGAACTTGTATGAAGAATGGATTGAGGGAGAAAGGAGGAAACAAAAGGACCCATTGTGAGGTTGGTGAACCACTATGAAGTCCTAGAAAAATCAAGGACAACCCAGGCCAATGCAGGAGTCACAGGAACAGGGAAGGGAAGGTTGGGTGTTGATTGACAAGCTGTACATGTGAGGAGTGAACCAACGCATCCAGAACAATTCCCATGTTTCTAGCCTGGCAAAATGGGAACTTGGTGATGTCTCTGGGCAACCAAAGTTGGGGGTATACAAGATCATAACCCTTTGTCATTCCTGGAAAAACTACTCCGGTTATCACAATTATCTTTGCATATGAAAAGTCTATGTAATGTTTGAATGTTTGATTCATCTCTTTAGTTCTGTATCACTGACATGTTTAAAATAATGCATCTGTCTATTCAATTGGGCTTTTTTTTTGGAAGTGGAAAAATACCTTTGAGGAGCTTTTAAAAAACTTTTTTCACAAAACTGGAGATTGAACACAGGGCTTCATGCCGTTTACCACTTAAGCCATGTCGCTAGCTAGCCTTTTGTTTTTTGAAATGAGGTCTAACTAACTTAGCCACACTGCCCATTGAATCGCCATCCTCCTGCCTCTACCTCCTGATTACAGGCATATGCCACTGCACTTGGCTAAAAACAAACTTTTTACTAAGAAACAGTTCATCTAGATGCTCCTTTGGGGATTGGGGATTTAGCTCAGTGGGGATTTGGTTCCCAGCACCAAAAGTAAAGACCAAAAAAGATTGGGCATATTGGTTCACATCTATAATCCCAGCTTCTCAGAAGGATCAGTCTGTACAAAATTAATGAGACCCCATCCTAATCAATAAGCCCAGCATGTGATCCCAGCTATGCAGGCAGAGATAGGATGGTCATCTGAGGTAGGCCCTGAGCAAAAACATAAGACCCTACATGAGAAATAAAGCAAAAAAATGGGCTGGGGAGTGTCTTAAGTGGTAGGGCATCTGCCTAGCAAGTGCAGTGCCCTGAGTTCAAACCCCGTACTTTTCCCCCTCCCCACACACCCCAAAAAAATTCTTGCCACCACCTATGTTCATACTTCTATTACCTGAAATGTTCTGATTAAACTGGTTTTTTGCTTGAGAGTTTATGTCCTTCTCAGAATCATTTGAGTTGGATCTCAAAAAAACAGGTATGCTTTGGGATGGAGGAGGTACTAAGAATTAAATTCCTGGGAAGGGTGCAGTTCAGTGGTAGCTTGCCTAGATGAGGCCCTGAATTCAATCCCCAGCACTGCAAATATCTTTTGTTATCAAGGATAATGCAGAGAAAGAAGGGCTCTTTCTCTGACTGGGGGGTCAGTTAGGAATTGAAAATAGAATCATTACGGGAAATAGGGATGATCTGTAGGTAACTGGGTGAAATGTTTTAGTAGCCTCAAATTAACTTTAAAAATAAATATTTCAAGTAATGACCATGTTTGATTACATGCCCCACTCTAGTCTCAGTCATGTCCTTTTGGGGTGGTCTGTCTCAGTGGTTCCACATCTGAGCAAAGGGCAGATCCTCCATGCTTGGTGGCTATTCCATCACCTAGTGGCCTTACTAGTTCAGAGGTCTTTTCCAGAGCTCCAGACCATGGAGCTACACAGAAGTGGCTGTGCTCATGCCCACCCCAAACTGTCCTCCCTGGAACTTCCTCCCCTTTACCACATATAACCTGTCTTAAGACTTAGCTCAACTTTATCTTTTCCTAGAAATATCATCTAACTCTCCCATCTCATTGCTATTTCTTCCTTCTCAGTTTAAATATTCACTCTTATCCCCAGAAAACATATAGGTCTGACTTGGAGCTCAACAAGTAGTCTAACGAGTCCAAAACAGATAGATCATGGTTCACACTTTGATAATCAGTCAACCTGTAAGTTGTGGCAAATGTTAAAAGCCAAAATGACCAGCTGCATTAGTCCTGTGAAATCAACGACTAGGATTTGAACTCAGTGTCTACCACTTGAGCTACTCTGCCAGCCTGTTTCTGTGATGGGTTTTTTCAAGACAGGGTCTCACAAGCTATTTGCCTGGGCTGGCTCTGAACCGTGATCTTTCTGATGTCTGCCTCCAGACTAGCTGGGATTGTAGGAGTGAGCCACCTGGCTTTAAAAACATTATTAAATGCTTCATCACAATATATGACCCAAAACTATTCAAAAGCGAGTTCCAGACATTTCTCACTTCCCCATCCTTGTACAAATAGCCAAACCAAGAAATCTGAATTTGTCCATTGTTACACAACTACCAAGCACTCTCTCTTATCAGGGGTCCCATACCTAGCAATGCTATTCCAGTTTTGACTGCTGGTCTTAAGTACTGTACCATACAGAACGATCTGCCACTCAAAATCCTCAATGTGATAGGAAGGTGGTTGTGACTACGTAAATGATTGCGATAGTCTGTAGTAATATCTAGAGAAATCTCATATTTGTTATTTCTATAAAAATTTTAAGTTCACTTTTATATTTCATTTATAGTCACTGTTATAATTAAATAAATTTGGCTCTTTACAAAAACACACTCAATCTCCCCTTCTGAAAAACTATTCCATTTAATAGTGCACTTTATGCTACAAGATGAACAGGTTGGGAAAACAAAACACAAGGTCATCCCTTGGGCTGGGAACAATCAGGGAATGCCATTCCCATCCCAGCAAGGAGCCCTGCCACCAGGATCAGGCCTCAGCCTTCCTTCTCTGGGCTTTGCTCTTTATTTGCACTAATCCTTGGCTATTGAAATCTGGAGAAGTCCCGCTGTCAGGGCCAGATGTTAGAGGTAACAAAGGGCAGTATGACATGGCTGAGTGAGCTCCTTGAAAGCATCTTTAGTTACTAGAGGTTGGGATCAAACAAGTTTTCATCACAGGAGAGGGAAGAAGAGGAAGGGAGAACAGGAATCAGAGGCCAAAGGTAAATGCTTCTGATCCACTGCCTCAGGTTATTCACTGCTTAGATGGATTTCTCAGTCAGTCCCATTACAACAGAGAGGACGAGAGAATACAGTATTGCCAGACTGCTCTTAAAAATGCAGTCTTGCTGCTCCAAGAGCACCAAAAGATGTAAGTCATCACAGAAATTGGGCAGTGGGGAGGTCTTTTTCCCTCCTCAATAAAATAAATCCCTCAGCACCAAGTTTTCACAATGAAATCAGGAAGCAGCATGTTCCTTATCAAATCTTAAAGCTGGAGTAGGGACAATGGCTTTGAACTACAGCCTCCATTCCCTGTCCTAGCAAAGGAGAGGACCCAGAACATTTTTCCCACCGCCTTCTGTGCTCACTATACAGACTCCAACTAGTAGAATCCTTGAAATTTTGTTCCTGGTATGCTTCCATTCCCCACCTTGGAAAGGCTCCTCTGGTGTGAGAAAAAGTTTAGTGCAAATCCCTTCCCAAAAAGGGGTGATTAGTTCCCAAGCTTCCTTCTACTCCGAGCACTTAAATCTGCCGCTTGCCTCACATTTTTCAGGGCTGGTATCATTCCTGGGAAACACACTACTTTGTTGATCGCTCTGACAGGATTTTACCAATTTGCCCCATTCTCTAAAGCGAAGTTTGAGGTGGAAGGGCGCATCCTAAGTTGTTTATAAAGTAAGGCAAGAGCTCGTTAGATTCAGGAAGTGAGGGAAATGGGTGTGTGGCTCTTTCATGTTGACTCTCTTGATATTTAATTCGCAGAAACTCTGAGAGAACTTTTGCTCATACCCATTACATTCAAAGGCTTCTCTCCAGTGTGAATCCTCTGGTGGCGGACAAGAGCTGAGCTATACCTGAAGGCTTTCCCACACTCACTACATTCATAGGGATTCTCCCCTGTGTGGATTCTTTGATGCTGAATAAGGCCAGAACTATAGGTAAACTTTCCTCCGCATTCCATACATTCGTAGGGCTTCTCTCCAGTGTGAATTCTCTGGTGCTGATAGAGATGTGAGCTCTGGCTGAAGGCCTTCCCACACTCATTACATTCATAGGGTTTTTCTCCAGTGTGGATTCTCTGATGATGAATAAGGGTGGAGCTCCTACTGAAGGCCTTCCCACATTCATTACAAGCATAGGGTTTCTCGCCAGTGTGGATTCTCTGGTGATGAGTAAGAGTGGAACTCCAGCTAAAGGTTTTTCCGCACTCATTACATTCGTAAGGTTTCTCCCCAGTGTGGATCCTGCGATGCAGAATAAGAGCAGAACTACAACTGAAGGTCTTCCCACACTCATTACATTCGTAAGGTTTCTCCCCAGTGTGGATTCTCTGATGCTGAATAAGATGTGAGCTCTGGCTGAAGGCCTTGCCACATTCACTACATTCATAGGGCTTTTCCCCAGTGTGGATTCTCTGATGTTGAATAAGGTCTGAAGTTCGATTAAAGCTCTTGCTACATTCATCACACTTATGGGGTCTATCTCCCATAGGAAGTCTCTGATGTGAAATAAGGCTAGAACTCACAGTAAAGCTGTTCCCAAACTCATACTTCTCATTTCTCTCTCCTGTGGGGGTGAGGTTTTCCTCAACTGTTACTTGACCAAAATCTTGTATTTTTCTATTCAATCTTTCTCCAGAGGAATTCCCTAGTTGCCTCTTTAGACTAACTTGCTGTTCATAGGCTTCTTTAAACTTAAGACCCTGAGAAATATCCTTTTGGAATCTTCCCAATAGCATCTCATGTGATCCTGCATCTTCAGAAATCCCTTGATCATTTTCAGTTCTTGATTCACCATCTGGCACAACAAAAAAATGCAAATGACACTTGTTCCTTGTGGAAAAAAGAACAAAAGTCAGAGGACAAGATAGCCATGTGACTAATATTTACAGCACTAAACACACATGCCTCTTCCAGGCCTGAAAAGAGGCCAACCTCATGTATATGTAGCTAAGGCAAAATAAAATAACTGGGCTAAGGAAACAGGGAAGTAGCAAGGCAAAAAATAAAATCAAGGAGAAAAGAACAACATTACAGAGAAAGCTGAGGATGTAAGGAGGGGAGATGGGTCAGGAAGAGAGGAAGTATCTATTACTTAATGAAACGACAAAGTCTTCAGAGAGGTCAGAGGCTATAGCTCTAACTGAGACAGTGCCAAGAAGAGAAGAGTGATGGTAAGATAAGAAGTTGTAAGAATGAGCTGAGCACCAATGGTTCACAACTATAATCCTAGCTACACAGGAGGTGGAGATCAGGAGGACTGCAGTTCGAAGCCAGCCCCGGAGAAAAAGTTTCAGAGACCTTATCTCAAAAATACACAATACAGAAAAAGGACCAGCAGAGTGTCTCAAATGGTAGAACACCTGCCTAGAGAGTGTGTACTGGTTCAAGGTCCAGTACAGCAAAAAAAAAGAAAAAAAAAAAGGAAAAAGGAAGAGGTTTAAGAATAGGATAATAGGGGAAGTTGGTTGTGGCTGAGGCAGGAGGATCCTGAATTTGAGGACAGTCTGGGCTACAAAGTCAGGCCCTATCTCAAAAAAATAAAAAAAGAATGATGGGAGAGCAAACACAAGAAACTAACACAAATCGGTAAACAGAGAGCTAGGAAAGGGCAGTGAGAAATAGCAGCATGGGAGGAAGGAGCAGGAGGATGGACACTAGAATCTTCCACTGTCCCCAGGGATGCACAACAAAACAATCCTGTCTAGTCACATCATTTATGCAACAGACAGGCAAGAAAGTTTAATCCACCTCTGGACCCAAGGCCTAGAAGGCTATGTTGTGAGGGAGGCCATGTAAAAGGTCTCTGTGTCTAATTTCTCTACTTTCACTACTTTTGGAGTTTCTAACAGGAACTTTAGGCATAGAGAATGAGTGTAAGGGTCCAGATAGTTAGCATTTTTAGCTTATTGATATTTTAAAAAGTAGGCAGGGTAGCCGGGCACCAGTGGCTCACACCTGTAATCCTAGCTACTCAGGAGGCAGAGATCAGGAGGATCAAAGTTTGAAGCCAGCCCAGGAAAACAGTTCTGCGAGACCTTCTCTTGAAAAATCCTTTACAAAAATAGGGCTGGTGGAGTAGCTCAAGGTGAGGGCTCTGAGTTCAAGCCCCAGTACCTCAAAAAAAAAAAAAAAAAAAAAAAAGGTAGACAGGGTAATGAGTGTTAGAATAGCTATTTCTCTCTCACCTGAACAGATTATCTCTTGGGACTTCTCTATTCTCAGTTCCCTTCAAATCCAGGACCCTCAGCTCTTCTTCTCCCTCTAGCAGAGAGATCAAGATACAGAAGGGGGAATCCTGGACTGAAGGCATGGCTCAAGTGGCAGAGAACTTGCTTAACCAGCACAAGGCCCTGAGTTTAACCAACCCCCAGTACCACACACATACACACAAGAAGAAAGAAATGAGAATCCTGCTCCCAAAGCACAATCCCAGACTGGAAATCTGCAGGGGACTGAAAAGAAATATATAGTGAGGTCTCAATGGGGAGTTAAAAAGATCCCCTGACCCTGCTTGAGAAAATGTTTGCCCTACAGTAAAGCAGAGAGATGAGGACCTGAAGGTTATGAAGATAACTTCTCCTTAAAATGAATTTACAAGTTTGAGTGTGTGGCTCAAGTAGCAGAGCAGCTGCCAGGCAAGTGTGAAGCCAAGGTCAAACCACAGTACTGACAAAAACCAAACCAAAAAAACCTCTTTGCTTCTGCCTCATACCTGGCCCATCATGGCTTTTTCCAACTTTTTCCCTAACCTTTAATAAACTTTTATTCTAAAAAAAAACCAAAAGCTTACATTTCTACAGTAGGTACACAAGATCCTAAACAAAGTTAAGAGGTTCCTAGGGTTAATCCAACCAAGCCCAGAATGTTTACCTTAACACAAAGCAGCGCCTCACAGGTCAGGAATCTCAACATACTAGTCCTTCAGAAGAGTCTCTCAGAATACATGGGAAAAGTACCAGATCTGGAGTTAAAAGACTGTGACTCAAGCACTGTCACTCACCAGCTCTATGACCATACATAAGGTCTATCCTCATTTTCCTCAGTCATCAAATGAGGATATTATGATGATTCTGTGAGGATCAAATGAGTATATGAAAATTCTTTATAAACTGCAAACTGCTGGATAAAGGTGAGTAAACAAGGTAGCCAAGAACCAGCAGGGTACTCTGCTGAGAGGGGTGACTTCTTACCCAGTGAGAACACATTCCTATAATTCTCCAGCATCACATCTCTATAGAGGTCCCTCTGAGCAGGTTCCAAACGCTTCCACTCCTTCCGGATAAAGTAAACAGCTACATCTTCAAATGTCACCAACTCCTAAAACAACACAGTCATGAATACAATTTTGAGGTGACGATTGGGACTGGTGGCACCAAAAAAAAACCTCAACTCAGGATGGGAATGAATAATGCCTCTTTGAGAAGCGGGAGAGAAGGTCAGAATAGAGGATAAAGACAAGAGTCCCCAACAGAACGTAACAGTCCATTATTCAGCAGGAAAGAGCCATGGTCCTCATGGTCAGAATGAGGGGTTATGGCACTGAATGGGATGTCACTGCAAAATGAGAAAGAAAGGGCTAGGAGTGTAGCTCCAGTGGTAGACTGCCTGCCTACCTGAGTTCAAACCCAGTGTTATTACCCACCCCCCAAAAATGGAAGGAAAAGACTGAAGAGAACCACGGCTCACCTGAGACTTGGCTTTTAGGAGTGCAGCTGCCAACATCTCATCCCCAAGGCTGTTGTCCTTGTTGGAAAAAGCAGGAACTTTTGAAGGAAGAGCTGAAGGAAGGTAACAGGGCCCATGAGTGAGGCTGCCTGCTCTCTGGTCACTCTTCTCAATGAAACTGCTCAGTCCCTGCTTTCGTGACTACTTATTGTTGTCCTTAATCCCAAACTTGGCCAGGAACAGGCTATCTTCTCGCATCCCTTCCATCACCTCAAACTTGCATGAAGTTCTTAAAGGAAACCAAGGAGCTCCCCTTCCCTGGTGGGGAACACAATGCCCCAGCGCTTCTCCTTTTACGCCATTCCCAGATCAAATTTATGCACGGCACATTTCCTCTTTCTAGGCTTGCCACATAGCTTTTCCTATAACTTTTCAGCTCATATGTTTGTCTTTCAGAGACGAAACCGCTGAACTAGAACTGACAAAAGGGCCTTAAGTGTTTTTTCCTGATAAGCAGAGGAACAATATCCATTAAGACCCCCTGAAACCAGGGGGTTGGGAGTGTGATTCACAGGTGAAGTGCCTGCCCAGCACATGGGAGCCACTGGGTAAATTCCCCAAGCACCACGTAAGTAAATAAAATTTTCTATATAATCCTCCACTTTAAAAAGAAAAAAAGGACTAGAATTAGTTCAAAAGTCAGGAATGACTGGTGGAGTGGCTCAAGCTATAGAGCACCTGCCTAGCAAGTATGAGGCCAAGAGTTCAAACCCCAGTATCACACACAAAAGTCAGGGACAGGTCCATAAAAGCAAAATATATTTTAGTGGCTTCCTATCTACTTTATCCTTCTGTCTGTGACCTACAAAAGGATTCTAGAGAGCCCATTCTAAGCATGCTCTTAAAGACTATGAAGCTGGTTGTTAAAAAGTATCTAAAAAATGGACCTCAGTGATTGTCAGTTTTCATAATCCTGCACAATTTGCCAGCAACCCCTTCAAAAATGCCTGCTATAAAAGCTATTTAGCTGTGTATTAATTATTGGTTAATTATTGTGTTAGCACCCCCCTACTCAGTTATTAAATAGTAAGCAGTGTGTCTTATTCACATTTGGATTCTAATAGTTACTCTAGTACCCAATGAATGAGAGACTTCAATAGATGATTGCTAAATAGCTGATAAAAGAATAAATGAGGCTAGAACATGGTGGTACATGCCTGTAATTCCAACACTTGGGAGGCTAAGGCAAAATGATCAAGAGTTTCAATCCAGTCTGGGCTACACAGCAAGACCCTGCCTTAAAAAAATACCAAAAACTGTTAACAAAAATGAACCCCCTATTCCTCACCACTTTCCAGCAGGGACTGAGGTTCCTGAGATACATGATCAGCCTGAGTTTCCATGGGTAGGGCTTTTTGCTCTGGTTTCTGGTCTCCTATCTGCAGAATCAGCAGGAATCAGGGTTTGAATGAGAATGAGGGAGCACTGCAGAAGCAAAAGTTCAAAGATAATTTTAAAAACACCTCCTAAATACAGAAATAGGGAAGCTAGCATCTTAGCTAGCTTCTAGGAAAAGCATAAAGAAACACAACTGGTACTACTCTTATGCACACCCACTCCCTGTAATGACAAGACAGAAGAACCATAAAAATGGCCTGAGTTTCCCATGATATCCAACCATTGGTTTCCCTACCAACACTCTAGGTGAGAACATTAACTGCAAAAAGTTAGTGTGTATATTTACCAAGACCAATCCAATGTGCTTCCTATCCAAGAAAGCAGTAGCTTTATTTTGATCTCCCTCTCCTACACTTTTTTTTTTTGAGACAGGGCCTCACTATGTGGCCTTGAACTCATTGTCCTCCTTCCTCAGTCTCCTAAGTCCTAGAATTAAAGGCATAAGCCACCATGTCAAGGTTTATCTCCCTCTTTTTACATTTTTATCTCCCTCTTTTTACATTTTTAATATAAGATTCTCTGTCACCGTCTTCATTCTATAAATATCTTCATTCCCCAGTTGATACCATAATCAAAAAAGATCTCTTTTCTAAGGTTCTAGTAGATAAAATGTAACATTAGTACTAAAAGTAAGGTCTGAATCTCAAGTACAAGTTTCTCCTTCACTTGAAAGCTTTGGCAAGATTAATACATCTGAAACAGATCCAGCTGCCACTAGAGCATCAAGCACATCAGAAAAACAAAACAGCTCCGGATTTTATCTACCTTCCTCTCTATGTATTTAGTCACTTACTCACATAAACATTTGTTAAGTGCAAACTATACTGCAAGGCACTATTGCAGGAAGTAAAAATACCAGGAATAAAAAAAGTACTTGCTTCATCATTATAGACTGCCACATTTACATAAGACATAAAAGGGGAGGATCCTGTCTGAGAGTCACTGAAAGTTCAGAAGTCTAGTCTTTGGAGAGCAAAGCCAATGCTGTTACATAGTGGAAAACACTGACTCAGGCTCACTGGCACACTCTTGCCACTATCACCATCCTGGCTGGTGATAGTGTCTCAGAACCCACCAGCCATTTTTGTTTTCCTTATCAACCACTGTTACTATTCCAAGACTGTTTATAAGCAGAGACCTCAACAAATCAGCAATTAGTGCAAATTCTTCTGGAAATCAGGCATTGTGGCACAAACCTGTGGTCCCAGCTACAAGGTAGAGTGAGGTGGGAAGACGGCTTGAGTCCCGGAGTTCAAGAACAACCCAGGCAACATAGCAAGACCGCGTCTCAAAAATAAAGAAAGAAAAAGAACCCTCTCTTTAAAAAAGCGAGTCAAAGGCTTTGACTCCAAAAAAAAAAGGCAATGCTCCCTCCTCACAGCTGGGTTAAACAAAGCTGGAACTCAAAGGCGTATTGTTAGGAACAAGTCCCCAGTGTCTGTTATCAGTAAACAGTGTTTCTCACAGAAAGAAACTCTCCATTGTGCTCCCAAGGCCTTGGGTCCAGGAAGAGCCCCTCTGCTGCCCTGCTACCAACCTACTCCACAGACCTGCTCCAAGGGACTAAGACAGTTCACCCAGCAGTGAAAACGTCCATGACAAGCTTTACCTGCTGGATCCTGTCCTCTTTCTCTCCCTAAGAGGGCAATGTAGCAATGATTGGGAATTTGGCAGCTTCTGTGCAGTTCCTGGGAATTCTGACTTTAGTTGATGCCAATGCTGTATGATTTAAGGGGAAAAAAAGGAATGAATAATCATGCAAACTTTATTTCTAATCCAGATAAAGGGAGAGACTGACTCTGAAAGGACATATGCTACTAAATATCAACTAATACCAGAACAAATGATATTTTCATTGCACCCCGAAGAGAGCTGAAAAAGAAGTGAGGGTTCCCCAGGGTTCCCAATAGGGTAAAAAGTTCCCATGATGGGGGGGGGGGCAGGGAATGGCTCACGTCTGTAATCCTAGCTTCTCCGGAGGCAGAGGTCAGAAGGGTTGTGGTTTAAAGCCAGCCCTGGACAAATAGTTCCTGAGATCCTATCTTGAAAAAAACCCATAACAAAAAATGGCTGGTGGAGTGGCTCAAGTGGTAAGAGTTCTTGCCTAGCAAGCATGAGACTTTGAGTTCAAACCCCAGTGCCACCAAAAAAGAAAGAAATTCCCATCGTTCAGTCAGCCAACCTGCTGGACACTTCAGCAGGGAGTCTGCTCCAGCGTCCCCAGATGGTAAAACTTATCCCATAGGACCTTCCCATCAAAGACACCGAGTTCTCCAGGTCTCTTTCCACATGACTGTCCTCCAAAACTTGAAAACACTCCCCATGTCTCCTCAGGAGGGGAAAAAAAAAACACTTCCTCTAATAATCTCATGAGTTTCAAGTTCATCACCCTACTATTCTCTGGTGTGGGGAAGGGGGGCTCATGTTCAATCCCACTTCTAAAACACATCAAATAAAGAATCGATACAATTGGAAATGGAAGTGTAGGGAGGGGAAAGCAGAGGCTGTTTCACTCCTTGTAAAGACTTTCTGGGTCCAGGGGGCTCCTTCCCAAGGATCTGAGTTTGCACCCCCTCCCAACTCTAGTTCTTCTGTTGGTTTCCGATCCTCGAACCCAACTAAGTAAAACTCAGCTTCCTTTCCTGCTACAAGCGCGAAAACTGTGCAACCATCCAATAAACGCATCTGGAAGAAGTACCAAGTTCGGGTCGCTGTCATCAGCTGATTATAGGACGGAGACGCCTCTGCAGCGACACTGAACTTTTAATCGGTGGAGTTGGGCGCTCTTTAAGTCACAAACCAGAACCGGGGTCCCCTTCTTCCCTCCCCTCCCCGACACGCAGGGTCCCGCCATCTGTGTTGAGTGGGGGGGGTCCTTGAGGAAGCGGAGTCGGGGACTGGCAGCAGGAGAGGGAGGAGCGCCCCCCCGCAACCTGCTCCGGGCGGGCCCGGGGACCCCGCGGGCCGCAGCGGCATGGACACAACCCCCTTCCCCGGCGACCTCAGCCTCCGCCTCACCGCGAGCCTTGGTGACGGCTGGACTCACCCTGGGGGAAAGGACGGGAGATTTTGGGGGGCCAGACACCGAAGAGGCCCTGTTGGACCCTACCACAGACCCACACACCCGGGACAGAACAAAGAACGGAAGTTCCCCCGTTTCACTTCCGGGTCGTACTTTACGCAACCCAACTCACTCCCAGGCCCCCAACGCCCACTTGTGCTCTCTAGGAAAATGGGAGGTCTTCAGCTCTCGGTGGTTTCCTGACTCGGCGACGCTGATCCGCAAGGAGAGCTGACAACCCAAGCGCTGACGTAGCTCTCAGAGTTTGTCGACTCCGCCCACTCGGGCGGCTGCGACACCTGCTGGCTGGGTCGGTAAAGGACGCCGCTCAGGAGCGGAAAATACCGACCTGAGACCTCAATGCGCACGCTCTTCTGCAGCAACTCCTTAAAAAAATCTTAGGAATTCATTTAAATGGAAAAATGAGATCTGTTGAAACTATTCTAAGAACGGGGGGAGGAAAAGGAGAGTGATGGAGGGGGTGAAATTAACTATGATATATTGTAAGCACTTTGGTAAATGTCACAATGCACCTCCAGTACAACAATAATAAAGATTTTTTAAAAAAGAAAAAACAATTCTTTTAAAAATGTGCCCCAGTAGGCATGTTGGTGTAGTCCTGTAATCCCAGCCCTTGGTTGGCTGGGAGAGGAGGATCGTGAGTTCGAGGCCAGTCTGGCTGCAGACTCATAAGACCCTATCTCAAAAAAACAACAACAAAAAATTCCCTTATTTGAAATTTGCTTCCAAAGTTTTTATTTGTGTTGGAGGGACACAGAGATCAACCACTTCCCTTTCCCCTCTTGGGATGGTTCAGCAGAACCAACAAAGAATCCAGAGGAAATAACACTGGGACATGAGTGTGAAAGAGGGACGGTCTGAGGGGGAAGGAGAAATGATAAGGTACTGGGGGAAAGAGGATCAAAATATGCTACACATATATGTTCAAAGAGACCACAATGAAAGGCTGATGGAGTGGCTCAAGTGATAGAGTGCCTAACTAGTGAGCCTAACAAGCATGAGACCTTGAGTTCAAGCCCTGGTACTGCCAAAAAGAAAAACAAAAAGGAAGTGAGACCACCAAACTGTATACAAAAGGGAGAGGGGAGAAGAAGAGGAATGGGAATATAATGGAGGGGGTAAACATTTTCAAAGTACACTGTACACATGAAAGGAATTACCACCACGAAACCCCCTCGTATTACTAATGTGTGCTAATTCAAAATATAATAAAACTATTTTAAACATTAAAAATGAGACTAAAACAACCCAAAGCAGCCAAGCATGGAGGTGCACACTTGTAATCCCAGCACTTGGGAGGCAGAGGCAGGAGGAAGATCACAAATTCGAGACTAGTGTGGGATACATAGTGAGACCCTGTCTCAAAACAAAAAGACAAAAACAACAAACAAAAAATCCAGACAGAAGAAAAGGAAATTCCAACTTTACATCTTGATTGCCACTAGTGTGCTTGAGAGGCCATTTCTCAATACCACATCGCCACCTGGTGGACAACTCACAAGGTGCAGCTACCACCTGAACCACTCCTCCAGTCCGTTTTGCTCTTGTTGCTTTGGAGATGAGATCTCGAGAACTGCTTTTCTGCTCTGGCCTCGAAGCTTGATCCTCTTGATCTCAGCCTTCCAAATAGCTGGGATTGTAAGATGTGAGCCACCAGCACCCAGCTAATATTCCTTGTGAAAGCTGCTATTGTAAGAGGCACTCAAATTGCTTTTGCTGAAAAGCACTACTCCTACTTGGGCTCACAAATGTACTAAAAACAGGAGAAACTTGGCATCCCTGCCTCCATTTTGTATGTCTTTGCTCTAAGCCATTCTCTTTGCATTCACTTTGTAATCACCTTGGATTCCAGAAAGGACAGGACTGATGACATCTTTATGACAAAGGACTGAAACTTCCCATAAGGAACAGTGGAGACTTGCATGACAGATGCCCTCCAAATGAGGACAATTACCTATAACGATGAGGCTGCACCCTGGAGCAGAAGCAATCATCTCACGGGAACCAGATCACTCCCCTCAAGTGATAACAGCAATGACATCTTCTCCGGAACCCCTCTGGGAACCCTTGGACTAAGATAATGGTCAACCAGAACTCACCTATCATTGGGACTGTTTAACTGTCCACACCTTTGTCCCCAGTTCTTTGTCTACTTAAACCTATAGCTCATGTCGGCATCTCAAAGATGGCTGAGGATAAGCTGAGTGCTAACTCTGCCTCTTCCCATAGTGCGTCCTGAGCCATGAAATAAACCTCCTTTCTCTGCCTTCACCAGGCCTCTTTATTTGGCGTTTACGGCCAGGTGACCAGACCTGGCATATGGAATCTCAGGAATTTGGGCTGTAGATCCAAAACTCCAGTTTCACTATTACCAGATTACTGATGGCTTTGAAACCCTCTAGACTGGGGGAAGTCAAGTGGCCTTTGATGATTAAAAGGATAAGAAAGCCTACAGGCTGGGTTAGCCAAATAGAAGTGGTATATTTAAGAGAATAGCAAGGCTGGCTCTAGAAGTATGTTGGTTTTACATGGAGAATTTGCAGCTACAGTTTTGGGAGAACCCAAGGGAAGCAGAGATGTCATTGGTACCCCAAAAGTCCTAGAGGTCCCTCTAAGTGTGTGGCCCCAGTTCACCGATGGCTTAGTTAAATTAAAATTGATGGGGTCAGCATGTAAAATTGAAAGCAGACATAACAGCTGTGCTCATTGAAACAGGAAGGGACCACCACTACAAGGAGCCAGAAGGCAAATAAATGCTAGACTTTCACCAGTTAAAAGCATGACAGTCAGGCATGGGAGTGCACTCCTGTAATCCCAGCACTCAGCAGGCTGAGGAAGGAAGATCTTGAGTTTGAGACAAACCTGGGCTACACAGTGATACCTTGTCTCAAAAACAATGTCCAAAAAAGAATTAAAAGCATGATGTATGAGTTTCATCTGTCTCCATCCTGGTACTCTCAATAGCTTTGTCACAAAACAGACTAGACCACAAAGCCAGAAAGTTGACAGACTGTGAGCCACTTATGTTTAAACCAAGTCATACCTAGTGGGATTCAAGATGGTTACACAAATGACAAAGGAAGGCTGGGTGGGTTGCCTCAAGTGGTAGAGTGCCTGCCCAGCAAGCATGAAGCCTTGACTTCAAACTCCCATACTGCCAAAAAAAAAAAAAAGTTTCAATTTTAGTCAACAAATAACAAGGGAGGACAGAGCAGTGACCACACCTGTGCTCCCACCTCCCTGGGAGGCAGATATAGGAGGATCATGGTTTGAAACCAGCCTAGGTAAAAAGTTAAAGAGACCCTATTTCAAAAAATAGGTCTGTAATCCCAGGCACAGGGGAGGCAGAGATAGAAGGATGGTGGTCTGAGGATGGCACAGGAAAAAGTGCAAGACCCTATCTGAAAAACTAAAACAAAGCTGGGCACCAATGTCTCAGGCCTGTAATCCCAGCTGCTTGAGAGACTGAAATCAAGAGAATCTAGATTCAAGGCCAGCCTGAGCAAATAGACTCTATCTCCAAAATAACCAGAGCAAAATGTACTGGAGGTGTGGCTCAAGCAGAACAGTGCCTGCTTTGCAAGCGTGAAGCCTTGAGTTCAAACCTCAGTCCCATCAAAAACAAAAAAGAAAAATATCTTTTGAAACTGTGCCCAAAACTAATGGACAGTTTCCAAACTTTAGCATACCTCAAAAAAAAGCAATAAAAGCCTGCTGGTCTCTTTTGTTCAGACAGCAGCAACCTGATTCCCTTACTCTTTAGTGGCACTGGGGTTTGAATTTGGGGCCTGATGCTTGCTAGGCAGGCACTCTACCACTTAATCCACTGCCCCAGCCCCTTTTTCTTTAGTTTGTTTTTTAGATAGGGTCTTGCACTTTTGCCTGGGGCTGCCCTCAGACCCTGGTCCTCCTACCTCAGCCTCTCAAGTAACTGGGATCACACACGCACTGCCATGCCCATCCCTGGTCCCCTCTTGACCACATTCCCTTTAGTTTGAGCTGCAATTTGCCAACTGAGGCTGAATGTCCAATGCAGCTTTGCCTGTCATGCTTGTGAAATGTGGATTGGTTTCATTTCTACAGTTTCCTTTCCATAAGATCCTGCTGACTGCTGTCAAGTGGGTAGATCTCAAGGATTTTCTCATCCTAGTCCAGCCAGCACTCACCCTGGACAAACATTGCCATATTTTACTGAACTGGGCTTTACTGCTTGGTTTACTACTTGGGAAAATACACACTTGAAGGACTAGGCTTAGTGGTACAGTGCTTACCTAGCATGCACAATGCCGTGGGTTTCATCCCCAGCACAGAGAAAAAGAAGGAGGAAGGGAGAAAGGAAGGAAAAACCACGTTTCTAACAATGGGACTGTTAGAAGAGACTGGGAGGAGGGAAAGAAGAAGAGAAAAATAGAAAGGGAATAATACGGAAATATAACGCATCTATGTAGGAACAAGACACAACAAAACTCACTGAAAGCTGCTGAACAATACAGAGTAGGGGAAAAGGATATTAAAGAGTAATAGAGTAGATTTGACTGATTAAAGTACAATCTATTTACAGATAAAATGCCAAAGCAAACCCCACTGAACAATAACAGTCACTTAAACTATGAAGGACAGGAATGTAAAACTGGTCATGTTAAGGAGAGGGCACTAGTGGGAAGGGAAGGGCAAAGGAAGGGGTAAAGGAGGGTGAATAGGGTTGATGTATTTTCTGCACATGTATAAAGATGGAACAATGAAACCTGTTGAAGTCATTTTAAGAAGGGGAACAGGAAAGAGGGAGAATAAGGGATGGATGGACCAAACTGGGGTACATTGTACACATATATGGAAATGTCACAATGAAACCCCCTGTTTAACTATT